TGTCCCCCCCAGCTCCCCAGGCCGGAGCCCACCCCGTGCCAGGGCAGCCCCCAAGGGAAGCACGGCCCCCCCTTCCCCCGGCCGCTCCAGTCGGGTCTCGCACGTGACGGTCACGTCAAGCACAAATATTTCCCTGCTAACGTGTGTGGAAAACTTCTGCTGGAGATGAGGGTGGGAAGAGGGAGGGGGACACCCGATCCTTGGGGGACAAAGGTGCCCTGGCCCTGTGCCTGGTCACGGGGACGAGGACAAGGACGTGATCCTGGGTTGGGCTCCCTGGGGGGAACAGGGACTCCCCATTCCACCCCGCCTCCCTCCCTGGGTTAAAGTACCAGTGCAAGATCATGTAAGGAAAATATTTTTTATTTAAAAAAACAAAAACACACACACACACTGGGAAAATAAAAAAAAAAAAAACAACAAACAAGCAAGCAACATATACAGTAAGGCCACAGGCAGTATAAACATCACTGGTGATAGTGTTACCTCAGAGAGGGTTACAAAGATATTCTGTAAAAACTGGCTTATTTAAAAAAAAAAAAAGGGTTCTTCACTTCCTTTAAAGGAATTACAAAGTCAAAGATAGGCTGGAAATCCAGGAGTATGAAGCCAACACCTCTTCCTCCTGGAAGTCCTAACAGTTATTGCCAACAGCAGGTGGAAACTTTAATTTGCTCCCAAGGTGGCAAAGCACAAAGTTCCCTCGTTTAAGATCTTAAGAAATTTGCAACTATCAGTCCATTAACTGAGAAATGTCAATGAACAAAAGTTCACTGCTGCCATCAGCATGTATCCCCCATGTATGATGACAGCTCACCCGTCATCCAGGTGATTACACATCCAGGAAGAACCTAAAAAAACCTTTTGATTTTCCTGTCTAAAGGCCAGCAAAAAATTCAAAAGCATTACCAAGGGTCTTGGTCACAGCCTCCCTGTGGCTGTTGGGAGGATTTATCCCAAAATCTTGAGATCATGAATATACCAAGCAACACTCCTGGCCATGTATTTTCTTTACAGCCTCGAGATGCCATTTTTGTAATAAATCTGTAGCAAAAAGCTAAAACCAAAAGCCTTTTTCTCCCATGGAGTCAGCTCCATTTAAATAGGAAAACTGGATTTGTGTGGAAAGGAGGCAGCAGGGCATGTACAAAAGCTGGGCAGCTTTTGGCAGTAAGAACTGCCATCCCTTCACCAGAGTCTGAAAATAGAACTCCCATTGCCACAATGACCACAAATTAATACAGAACTCTGATGTTTGGGCTCTTTCTTTTTGCTTAAACCAGGCAAAAAGCAGAGCTGTCCATCAAACACTCCAACATGCTCTTGAAAAATAAGCATTTAAAACAAAAATATAACCATCTCTGAAAGTTTGGTCACTTGTTTGCCGATCAAACACCCAAAGAACAATTCTCAGGTCAGCAGGAGTTTCTCAGAAAGGCTGCTCCCAAGCCTCAGCCCCAGCTCAGAGTGCTTTCCAGTCGATGGGCTTCTTCCCAGATTTCTTGAGGAATTCATTAGTCTTGGAGAAGTGCCGGCAGCCGAAAAACCCTCTGTTGACAGAGAGGGGTGAGGGATGAACCGTCTGCAGGACGTGGTGACGCTTCTGGGAACGGCAGAGGAAACCATGTGTTAGATTTGCAGGGTTTTGGCTGTTCCTCCTCCAGGGCAGGTGTGATCTCCCCTCATACCCCATTCCTGCACCAGTCTGAGACCCAAAGAACCAGCCACAAGGACCAAGACTTCTGTCCCACTAAGCAAAGACATAAATACCCTGGCATTTCCCAATTGCTGTCATCCCACCAGCCGATTTCATATTGATTCATGAGCCCTTAACTAGGAAAAACAGCTCTGTCCTTGTGAGGCACTGCTGACAACAGGAGCTTACACTTGCTCCACTTTTCTTGCTTAATTCTGGCAAAGGCTAAGCTGGAGCAGAAGGGTGACTCGATTTGACAGAGTCCAGGCAGGGAAAATTCCCAATTCCGTCAAGGAAGTGCCCTCTAGTGTCCACCAAACTGAGGGAAAAAACCAGGGAGAGGGAAGGGCTGAGGAAAAGGAGCTGTACCCTGTCGATGGAGCTGCCTTTCCTCTGGGCATAGGCTCCCCAGAGCATGAAAACAACCCCGTGCAGGTTCTTGTTGAGCCAGGACACCACGACATCCGTGAACTTCTCCCAGCCCCTCTCCCTGTGGGACGTGGCCTGGTGAGCCCGAACCGTGAGCACCGCGTTGAGCAGGAGCACTCCTGGCAAACAAAGCACATCCAGAGGGTGAAACAAGGGTTAATCCATCCCTGGAGTGCCCAAGGCCAGGCTGGATGGAGCTCTGAGCAACCTGGGCTAGTGGAAGGTGTCCCTTGGATGAGCTTTAAGCTCCTTTCCAACCCACCCCGTTCTGGGATTCAACCTGCTTTTCTCTTGATGAGGCAAATTTTCATTTTAAGGCACTCAGAAGTGATTTTCTCTCCTACAGGTGGATTATTTCCAACCACAGGTCTATTTTTTTTAGATAAAATTCTTTTCTGCTCCACATGGAGCACATCACTGAGTGTCTCTGAGCTCACCTTGCTTGGCCCAGCCTGTCAGGTCCCCATGGCCAGGGTGGGTGAAGCCCTCAATGTCCTCAGAAAGCTCCTTGTAAATATTTTCCAAGCTGCAAACCAAACCAGCAGAAGATTTTTAACATGACAAGAGCAAGCAGCACCACCTATTGTCCTAAGCAGGCAAGAAGAACACTGATTTTAATCTTATTAAAGATGATAAAGCCATTTGCAGAGGCAGGGCAACAGGGACTCTGTGTCTCTGCCTGGAAGCTTTAATGAGACTGGAAATGAAAATTTACATTTTAATAGCACCAAAACTACACAGAATTATCCTTCCAGGTGATGCACAACTCAAATTGAAGTAGCTGCAAACCACTTCACACCAATTTTTTCCCAGCCCTGAGCACTGCAGAACTGCAAATAATTAAGGAACAAAAGGGATTTTGCTAATTTTCATACCTGGGGGGAGGTGGAACAGGCTTCTGGACACTGAAACAGAGCCCATGAGCTTGCTTAGGTCCATGGTATGGATCTTGCCCCAAAATGACAGCCTTTACCTGAAAGCAGACCTTGGTTACCATTGAATTAGCATTATTCCCCAGAGAGTGGGGAACAAAGTTTATAAATGAGCTTTATCCTAAAACAGAGGCAGAAAAGTGCCACAAACCAACTCCTCCAAGAAACTGAAGTGAAATCCCAGATGTGTCACTGCTAAAGAGCACAGAGCCCACCTAACACTAAGGATTAGCATCCCTATGGCTTTGCTGCCAAAATTATGAATGTAACTAATATAATTTGAGTGCAAAAGACCAACATTTTCACAGTCACAAAAACCACTTTGTTATTTTCCAAGCAGGTTTCGTCCCATTTCAGCTTTATGCCACACTTGCTGTGATATTTTTGACAGGTTTTATTGGAAATTACATTACCTTGTGCTGTCTGATTTTCTTTCAATAATAGTCCTTTATTGATCAAGTGAAAGAACAAGAGATGTTCAAGATTAAAAGACTATGAACTAGGTTAAGCTGTTAACACCAGAACAAAAGATCAAAAGGATCAGAGGAAGTTCTGTGGTCTCTGAGGGCGATAAAACAATAAAATCACGGTTTGGTATCAGACATAAAAGGGAAGGCTGGATTTATAAGTGAGCCAAACAAAGAGTATCCACATCCCACGGGATCCAAGTTTAAGGGACCAAACAGTGAGGGAACGTCTCTGTGCACCCACCCTGCACCTTCACGGTTTTAAACTACCCGGAGCAGCTGAGAGACCCCCCCGCGGCTCTACTCACATCCCAGATGTCGCACATCTGCGTCCAGGTGAAGACCTGCTCGGGAGGCGGATACACCGTGTAGCGCTTCCTCTCCTCGGCCACGAACGCCATCAGCTGCGGGGGCAGCGGGGGCTCAGCGGGGGCCGCAGCGGCCGCTCGGGGCGACAGGGGGATCGGGGAACGCTGCTCACCTCCACGAAGTAGGGCTTGGAGAACTCCCCGGCCAGCTGCCGCCGCCAGCTCTCGCCGAAGCCCGGGGGTACGTTCCGCTGCGCCAGCAGCTGCCGCGCCGCCTCCTTGTTCTTGCGGATGCGCTCCTGCTGCTCCGTGCTCAGCGCCTGGCTCGCCTCATCGCCGGCTTCCTTCGCCTTCTTGGCGGCGCTCACCTGGAAGCAGCGGGCGAAGGGGCGGCTGCGGAGGATGCGGGAGCGCAGCGGGCAGAGCACAAGGCCCGGGAGCTGCGCGGCCATGGCGGGACAGGGCCGGACCATGGCGGGACAGCGCCCGCCCACGGGGCGGCCCCGCCGCACGCGACGGTTTC